GGGTGCCCGTGATCCCTCCTTGGTAGGTCTTCTTTAGAGCAAACAACCTACAATATTCAGGTGGCGAAAACGCCATGACAATATCTTGGCCGTAAAAGCCATTGATATGGTCCTTCATGCCGCGATAATACGACTGAGCCCGCTGATATACGCGGTGTAAATGGTGAGTAGCCTCTTTGACCGCCCCCCCCCACCCCTCCTTTGAAAAATCCTGGCTACGCCCCTGCCTGAGGAAAACTTATACAAGTATGTTACGAGTTCGATGTTTACGTGGTAGGCGATTTGTAGTCTAAACAGAACGCAGAGTTGTCGGAACAGCAACAAGAAGACTTATTCCAAAATGAACGTAGTTTCTACCTGATAAACTTTACACTAGCACGTAACTCAATCAACTTACACGGCCTCCGCCAACTTCGCTCAACTTGAAAAATACACACGGCCTCCGCCAACTTCAATAAACTTGTAAATACACACGACCTCCGCCAACTTCGATAAACACTGCCTCGTCACGCTTGACTGATCACGACTAACTCTCTTCGCTTGTGAAAACTTAGTTAAAACTTCGCCTAACCTATCCTACTTACATAAAAGGGTCTAATTATAGCAACATTACAAAATATACCAATTTTAGAATCGAATACATCATGTACTAAATTAAACAAACCATGACTTTTCGCGAACATTCCAGAGGGTCATGCATGTCACGCAACATTATTTTTCGTAACAAAGTATAACTTGAAATAAAACTGTCTTTGGCTGGTTGCTTTCCTTACTTTTTAAGCGATTCACAAAGCGATATTTGAAATATTTAGGGCCGTCTTCCCGTGAAGTGGACTGCTTATGAGGCCTTGTTGTACGGAAAATATACCACCAAAAGTGATGTGTAAGTATAACTGATAATTATCCATCTTTGTGAAAGAATTTATCTTAGTTGTCGTATTAATGTCTTCAGTCACTTAATTTATATTCGTTTGATTTTTATTTCTGCAGTTGGAGTTATGGAGTTGTGCTTTACGAGATTTTTACCATAGGTATTATCGAATGGAAGTTTATGAGACTAGATTTTTTTTTGCTTTCTACTATCTTTAATTAAACAATGTCTTTTGCTCTTTACTACATTTAATTGAACAATGTTGTCTGTTGAGTGGGACAAGCGCAATGAGCTTCCCTTTACAATCTTTGTTACACAGGGTAGTGTTACAGCGCTACAATTTTATTTCGATGGTTTTGTGGTTCTTCCAGGTGGTTCACCTTACCCAAAAATGGATGGAAGAAAAATTGCAAACTTACTTCAGGAGGGATATAGGATGCCTAAACCACAACACGTCGATGAAAAATTGTAAGTTTTCTTTTTCAACTCACTCTCTCTAATCATACAAGAAAAATTTCTTTAAATTTTAAACAGATCATTTGAAATATACCAGGTATCAGGTAATGATGAAATGCTGGAAAAATGACTCGGAAACAAGACCAACATTCACTGAATTGAAAAATCAGCTCAAGGACATGGAAACCCAACATAAGGTGAGAATTCTGATCAAAATGAGAGGTTCTTTTTTATGCAATAGCGACTGGCTTAGGCTCAGTTAGTTACGGTTTTTAGCTTTAACAGCATTTACCTGGATAGCTTAGTAATATATTCTCATCTCTTTCATATTTACAAGTTTGGATTCCATCTTTTTTTTATGTCACCGGAGTTAGCGCTCCACGAGCGAAGGAGCAAACTAAAATATTCCAACTATAAACGGTACTCTATGATTATTATTTTAAAGTTCATAAGATATGTATGAAAGCGATCCTTGCGTAATGAACACTACTTATGTATTGTGAAAATAAGACCTAAAAAAAAAATCAGGTCCGAATGGGATTTGAACCCATGATCTCTGCGATGCTGCGGTTTTAAACGTACGAAAACGATCCTCGTAGTAATAAACACTACATAAGATGATTGGAAAACCGCATTAAGACGCAACAAAGAGTAGGAAACAACGACGGCATAAAGTAGTGAAATTGTTTATTCATGAATAGTTATAAATACCAAAAGAAACATACCCAGAGTCATACGTCTGAACTTACAATTTAAATAACCAACTGCTATCAAAAAAAGTAATTACAAACTATTTACAACAACAATAACAATAAGATAAAATTGAAAAGGCATCTGTTCACCTAACAGCGTTTATGACGTTCAGTTCTGACACGTGGCAGGATATAAGGGTGTCCTCTTTTCCTACGGCTCCTTGTTCTTTGGGGTGGAAGCAGTACATCAAGGGGATGATTACTATCAGTAGTTTTGTTCTCCCATACTGGCCTATCTTTGATTTTAATTCAATTAGTTATGGTATATATTTGCTGGCATATCCATAACGTGGAGCCCGCTTACAAAACCTATCAATTTGGGAGAGATATTTACTATTGTGGGCACAAGCCCACACCTCAATCGCAAAGGTGAAAAGTGACATTCTAAGGCTGTCAAATTGCAGTGTAAGCTCTTGTAGTGAGTAGCCGTAATATTTACAAACTCTAAGTATGTACAATCTAGAACTTGCTTTGCTAAGCATATTTTCGAATTAAGTGTCCCAATTACATGAATCTTCACTTGCTGTAACTCCAAACAGCTTTAGTTAACTCCTAGCAATTCCATCCATGGACTTTGGGAGGGGCATCCTGGTTTTACCCCTAACAACCATCTCAAAGGTATTTTTCATGTTCAGCTTCATCTGATTATCATCAGTCCAAACTTTGATGTTTGCTACTTCCTGATGTAATGAATCAGTGCGATTGAGGCCAATTGGGATATCATATTTGATCAGTAGGGTTTGGGGGGTTACAGGTTTGATGTCATTTAACCATGAAGGAGAACACTAAGGGTCCAAGCACAGTCCCCTGTGGAACCCCTCTATTGTTATTGAGGGAACTGGTAACCACTCCATCAACCCCCTACGCTCTGTCAGCGATCGCACAGGAAGCTCATTATCCAGTTTTTAATGTCATACGACATCATCTTGTTTGCACAGAACGCGATGGGAGACTGAGTCAAAAGCCTTCCTAAAATCAAATGAAAAGGCTGTGACAAAATCCGCACTCGTGTCAAGTTGCGCAAGCCAAAAATGATAGCTATAGTTGTGTTGTGTCCCTTTTTATTAGCGAATTGGTCAGGTCCAATCGCTGACTTAAGGAAAGGAGATAGTTCTTGTTTGCAGACAAGACGCTCATAGATTCTGTGATGTTGGTTAATGAGGTAGTTCTGAGTTGATCGCATTCAGTCAGAGGAGATTCCTTAGGGATGGGCGAGACATTTGCTTGTTTCCACAAGAATGGAATTTTTTGGTGCTTGAGTGAGCAATTAAAAATTTTTGGCGATCACTGGTGCAGATGGGGAGAGTAATCGCGCCAAAGCCAGTAAGGAAACTCATCAGGCCCCAAAGCGGTTCGTTTCTGGTGTGTCAGTAGGTTCTTATATCACATTTATTCGCAGCTGGGAGAAGGGTTCCTTCTGGCATTTGCAGACGCGTAGGAGCCTCATACGCGTCATCACTGTTGATGGTTTGAAAGTATGTGTTGATGACGTCAGGGGAAATCATCGAGCTAACAAGCTTACCTTGCGTATTTCTACCAGTTATTCCTCTGGTGGTATCACACCATTCTTCTTGAATTTGTGTGAAAGCTTACCGCTCATGAGGATCACTATTTATAATAAATGAGGAACCCTGTCTTTATTTGACGCTGATTATTTCTTTTTTTTTTCTCTGCAGAGGCTAATCAACATGAGTATGTACGACAAGCAATTGTATGCAAACGTCGAGGATTTAACAGTGTAGTTTGATGCACGTCCACGGTGTAAGATCGGCTAACGATTTGAACACTTTGCCGCAACAAGTTTCAGGGACTAATCATCTTTGCATTGAACGATTACGTTGTCCTTTTTATATTCTTAAACGGTAAACCGCTATTATGTTTTTTCAGTCGTTTTACCGATAAAGTATACTCTCGTATTTCCCGTTAACTTGTTAAGAACTTACACGTATGCTCGACTTAATTAAGCATTTGTGATCGGTTTATTTCAAGCTAAATTCCGAAAAGCAGGAAAGCGTTCTGACATCAGATGACGCGTTTTGTTATCTTTGTACCGTAACCGTACCTTCCAAGAAAGAATCGTATTTACCAAATTGATCTCGCTCGGAAGGCCTTAGTTGTGTAAATTTGTTAGTTAATTTTAAGAAACTGTTTTGCCGCGACACCCACCTGCCTGGAGGAAAGCTATCATGCGCATAATATTGCTTTGCTAAGGCTATATTTGTTTGTGATACCCACTCTAAATACTTTTACACTGAAATTATTAGAAGTATTAGTAAAATGAGCAGAATTCTTTTTAAAACTATTTATGCCTCTTGCTCGCTTGCTTATAACCAAGTGTTTTACACTGTGCATAGCTAGGGGTGAGCTCGATTTGCTGGGAGAATTAAACGGACAACCTTTATTTGCCGTAATTTTGCCACTCAGTTGAGTGGCCGTTTATTTTTAATACCAAATCAAGTTACAGTAAAACCGGAAATACAAACCTAATCCCAGCAAAGGTGAGGGCAAACGCGCAAAATCCCTGATCGACCCGAGAGACAGGGCCGCCCCACTGGAAGCCCAAGCAATGCACAGTGCCTGAATAAAAACTCCTGTAACAACCCAACGTGATTAAACTGGCAAGTAAACCAGCCTAGTGTCCCTTGGCGGGATTGATAGACTGAAAGCTAGTCTCTAATGCTATTTTAATACTAATGAAATTATGATCATGCTTGTGAAACTGTTAGCCCTTGCACAACCGCCCCTCAAGCATGTCATCTTAGAAGGAATCGACAAACCGTTAACTGAATTACTGTATGAACCTAACGTTAACCTACTGGCAGGCAAGAGAAGTGGATCGGAGGCACTACCAAATAATTCTATCCGAAAGGCCCAACTGCTGGCCCCCGCTAAGCAGCCATTCCTAAGTTAAAGCGGATTATGATTACACATTCAATTTATGCTCAGGACATGTGCCATTTTAGGAACAGTTGGCCCCTGCACAACTGCTCCTAAGTAGGCCCTACCTAATATGTAAATCTAAGAGGTGGTTCATACTCTAATATTCCATATTCACTGTAATGCGAAGACAAACATAACACAGATACCAGTGGCCCCTGCACACCAGATCTGTACCATGTTTGGGAAAGTCTACTATGCCTATGTGGTATCCCTCTTGCAAGCATAGGCAAACGGTACTGACTTACACATGGCCATGAAAGGCTGACAGAGACCCCATCGTGGAGATTCGTATATATCGCAGAAATGCATTAGATTTCCAGCGTCCAAAATCCCTGATCTGTGTGTCCGACATACCTTTTGCTGCTGTCCAGGAAGCAGCACCGATCCTAAAGCTATGAGTCTTATGGTGCGAATTATCCAGGTCACAAAACTGAAGGTCTTCCTCGAATGCTGTCACAAAGAAAGATCGAGATATTGGGAGGCATCTGGCCAACTGAAAACAAGTCCGGCAAATTGTCCCCGAATAGTTATATACTCTGACAGAAGACAGACCGGGAAAATTGGTCTCTCTCGGTAAAGGAAAATATCTACTGGGTTTGCAGAGTCACAATGCTTGTAGTTCCTTAACACAATCTTTAATTCGGTGACAGTACCCTCCCTGGTTTTCATGAAGGTAATTTGACTGATATTGATGATATTTTGACAAGGTTGAATGTACCGATAAGTAATTTCCCCAACTCTAAGGGCCGAAAAGAAAGTAACTGCATACATTGCCCGAGTTAATTTTTTGCTATACAAGGATGATTTTGTGTGCTCGCAGGCCAAGATGATATTTTAGAGTATGGGTAAAGTAATGGGTAACCGAGTGTCCCTCAAAGAGTTTATTTTACTGTAACCCCGCAATGCGAGTTTGATCATCTCAGATTTAGTGGGGTCAGGCAGAGAAGCTAAACGATGGGGAAAAATTAATGCCGAAATGTAATTAACTACTGTAGAGGCTGCATATGGTTTTTCAGCTAAAAAGGCGATAAACAAGGCTAGAGTATGTTCGGAAAGAAGAAAAACTGGAGTTTGCAGCCCTAGGTGATCCCTCACAAATTGTTGCAAAATCTGCCAGGGGCGACGGTACACAAACCTAGATGTTACACCCAGACTAGCTTCTAATAACTTGGCTAGCCTATCTCCCAGTTCTCGGGTAGAAGGTGTGATGGCAGAGGGGTTGGTGTTGGGTCCATGCCCTGTGACACTGTTCAGAATTTATCGACCTGTGAACGAGATAAGCTATCAGCCAACACATTCTTAGTTCCTTGAATATGACGCGCCCTAAAGAGGATATTGTTTCTTAGGCAAATCAGAAGCATTGTGCGCAACAACACCAGCATCTTGGTGTCCTTCGTTGTTACCTTATTAATAACATGAGCCACATTTCGTTGTCACTAAAAAGGAGGACCCTCGTGTTTCTGCTGAGGGCTACGACAATTGGAAAAAATTCAAGAAAATAAATATTATATGCCTTCCATGGGTCTGGCCATGTACCATAAGCCCAATGCTTGCCGAAACAATTCCATACCCTTTAGACTGCGCAGAATCCTTGAAAAACTGCAAGTTATGAGAGGTTGACCAGGCTTCCTCTAAGAAAAAATACTTTCCGTTGAAGGATTATAAGAAAGTTTCCCAGATTCTTAAATCTTTTTTTGTTTCCAAAATTAATCGAATTCTGTGGTGCGCATGCTTGATACCTAAGGTGACATTTATAAGGCGCCTAATAAAAACTCGGCCAGAGGTAATTACCGAGCAGGAAAAATTCAGGAAACCTATAAGGGATTAGAGTTCCTTCAGTTGTACTCTTTTCTTGGGTAGAAGAGAGCGAATTGCGTCCAAGGTTTTGTCAACTTTTTCTTTGGGAAGCCTGGCCTCCATGGCTAAACAATCTAATTCAATGCCTGCAAAAGTTAATACTGGACTAGGGCCTTCTGTTTTTCTGGAGCCATGGGAACATCAATGTCATCACAAAATTGCAAAAACCTTTGAAGGCTAGCATCAAAAATTTCATGGGATTTTTCAAGAATCAAAAAGTCATCCACAATATGCCAGATGTTAGGTATCGCTAATTTGTTGCGAGCTACCCACTCCATTGCGGTACTGAGGGCCTAAAAGATCTAACAGAAACTAGCAAAACCCATGGGGAGGCAGCGGTCGACATAATAGTTCCCCCTTCCTATTGCATTCCCAGTAAGTGATAGTGTGAGGGGCGTATTGGGAAAATGCGGAAAGCACTCCGGACATCCATCTGAGTAAGGGTACAACCTCTGCCTAACTGTTTGATAAGCCGAATTGCATCATTGACCTTAGCACAGCGTACTGAACAAAACTCTTGTGGGATAAAATCGTTAACTGACCCACCAAAGGGGAAGGAAAGACGGTGAATCATTCTAAATTCACCTTGTGCTTTCTTGGGTATGACCCCCAAGGGAGATATTCTAAGGTTAGGTAATGGGGGTTCTGAAAAAGGTCCCATTATACGACCTTCTTGGGTCTCTTTAGTTAAGTGTTTGTAAACCTGATCTGGGTGCTCAGATACTGAGACGAGATTATTGGAAAACCTGCTCTCTATGGGGCCATAATAATGTAAACGGGAGCCATGTAAAAAACCACTTAATAAATAACTACGCAGCTTCTCTGAGTACCCCGATAAGTACTTTGCTAAGCTCTTAGCTTTGACCGGAGTTGGGAGTGCTTCGGAGGTAAGTTGACTTGGGCCCGGTATTTCCCATAGGCTGTTCGGGGGCTTGTTGGCATTTGGAAATTGCGTGGCTATTTCCACACCTGAAACACTGGTGTTTGTAAGAACATCCTGGGCACGCAATTCCTTTGTGGAACTTCCAACAAAATCCCTTTGGGATAAATGATCCCCTTTCTTTACTTTTTCCTGGCTGGGTACTAAGTTTGGGACGAAAGGAATGAGACCTAAGCCAGAGCTCAGAGTGAATTTGGTCCTAAGGAGCACCCTGTGTCTACCTAATGCTCCGAAAATTGTCATCATAGAGCCTCCGATTGGCTCCCTGAGATGCTAATTCTCTAATGACTGACCCATACTTCATGAGGGTTGGGGTATCGTAAGGGGCTTTTTCTGAATAGATGGCAACAAACACCTGAAAGGCCGAGACCCGTTGTTCAATCGACTGAACAGTCTGTCACTTAGGACTAAGTGCTAAAACTAAAGCTGGCTTGCCACCTTCACCTTTCTCTACCCGGAAGGTATAATGATCGTCTGACTGAGTAAAGCTATTGTTTAACAATAGTGAAAAGTCTACATACTCGTTGGACCATATTTGTTTTTTGACCTTATCAGGCACACGGTGTGTCAATGGCACTGCAGTGGACAAAAAAGTGCTCTTACTTTGAGGTGCTGCACCAGGTAGTAAAGAATTACGCCAAAAGTAAAGCTCTTATTATCAAGGTTTTATCAGCCTACTGCTTAGCCAGGAGACAATATTGGAATCCTAAGTTAAACCATAAATAAGATAAAAGTTAAACCATAAATAAAATAAAAATAAGAGAGATGGCAGTATAAAACAATCTGGCACAAATAAGTGATCTATAATACCACAAGGTAGTTATAGGCATACAAAATATGAAACAGCACAAATGGTACATGAATGGCACAGAGCAATAACACTCCCGTCGAGTAAGTATCATGACCTATGCTGACAAAACCAGAATTGTACATCCCTTCCATACACAGCCAGAGAGGTGACAACCTGGCCACAAAAATTAACAACAACTGGGAAAATCAAATAATAATGTTTTCACTTTGGCTGTCTCGGGGAGCAACACAACGAGCTAACTGATAGTGTGTCATGCCGATTGAAAGTATTACAACAAGCGCGTTTAGAGCTAGTCCTTGGCACCACTGTAATTTGCCTAGAGCCGCACAGTGGAATGTTTCCTTCAGGGGACTAGTGAGTTCAGCCTTGTTGGTTATGCCGAATATTTGCTCTTTTACGTCTTAGGACAGGACTCCATACAGCGTCAAAAATACGATTTAAGTCTTAACGGCTTAGCCAAGGTGAAACAAGAGCATAGAGCCCGATAACTCGTTGGTAGCTTGTATTATCCTGAATCAAGTGGCCCGGTCTCAGCTAAGGTAATTAAAATGGAGGCGGTGTTGTGAATGTTTTCAAGATCGTACTGGATTGTGTTATCCACACTACACCGCCACGTCCGAAAAATACAACTAAACAAAAACAGGCACACAAGTCTAAGTGAAGCCTTCCAAGTGATGTTTAGATCACTATTCCTGCAATCTAAATACTTACGACCGACTAATCTTAGACGTGCACACGTGGTGTTCGCCCGCCGCCACGTGATTAGCCTGTATGACTTGTTATAGCGATTAACTGCACTTAATCCAAATAAACACAGCCTACTTAACTGAACGATGAAATGGACACCTCTCTTGAAGTCCTTCTGAAGGGAGATAAGGAGGATTCCGTCCAAATTCCTTCAGCCTTCAGAAAAATGTTTGCCCTGCACCGAAACTTAACTGAAAGAGGCCCGAAATCACATGTTCGGATGTTTAAGTATCTACCATTAAAAGTCCCAGATGTAACCCATCCGGGATAATGTTAAACGTGGCGCAGGCTGCATAAACTTGTTTATTCCCTTTGGTAATAAATGTCATAT